GAAATACACAGGACCAGAGAATTTTCCAGCTTGCCTCTTGGATCTGCAGCTGGCTTCTTTCAAATTGAGTGAATGACTCTCTGATGAAAATAAAAGGATTACTTTCCCTGACGTTACATTACTGAACTAGACCTTTGCATGTTCAAGAATATGGTCGCTGTTTGCTAAACTATCTCCATTAAGGTTGGAAATAGAATGTACAAGCATAATTTCTCCTCCTCAAGCTGTGATCTGCCAACCAACAACATTAGCATCACCTGGGTCACTCATTAGACGTACAGAATCTCACCTGACCCCAGACGTACTAATCAGAATCTGCATTTTAACAAGATCCCCCAAAGGATCTGTGTACATTGAAGCTTGAAATGCACTGCTTTAAAAAATCTAACAGCTCGATTCTCCAACAAGAGTGTTGGACAGTGGCTTTCATAAAGCAATCGAGGTTAATCCTTCATTGGGTTTGTATAAAGGAGAGAAAAAGATTTTTTTCTGTGCACATGAAAGTACTCATGCCACAACATAGCTGTGTGTTATGTAGGCCAAGGAGACCACCTCTGGTGTGGCTGGATAGTCACACATTTTATAATATTTCCAGGGTGATAGCAGGGTATATCCAAGAAAGAAGATACAAAGGCTGATGGGTAAAGAAAGAAAGGGAATGACTTTTTTGTTTGTTTGCTTGTTTTCTTAGAGTGAAATATGAAGAATCAGGCAAAGGGTAGAGTTAACATTACCTACAATGAAAAAAATGCCATTACCTGAAAGATTTCTCAGTACATTTAATTCTTTTTCCAAACTGTCTAAGGTTTGTTGGTCAGCAGTGTCATCTAAGAAAAGCTCGTACTGGTCAGTAATATCAATATATTCAATTTCTGAAATTTCAGAAGCAGCTGTAGACAATGATCGAGCAGCTGCACTTCTTGATCGAAGATGAGAGGATGAAAGGCAGCTGGAGCTTTTTTTAACAGAGTTGGAAAGTGGTAAATTTGCTGTTGAAGGTCTCTGTGATTTCTGGACTAAAATGAAAAGTAAAATTTTTTTAAATCAACTTTTTAAAACTTTGAATGAGTACTTAAAGATGCAAAATACCAGCCCCCTGCACAAAGAGCACTTAAGTTCATGCAACAGAGTTTATGAGAAAGTTAACTTTTGGTTATTATACATTCTAGCTAACAACAATTTTTTAATCTCAAATTATTTTCCCAATGTCATAAGGAGCACTTCTGGGTAATTATTTTTTTAAATTTTTCTACAGTCAGAAAAAGACAAACTAACTTTAATATTAACTAAAGCAAAATATCTGTAAACCAAGTAAACTTTAGACCAAAACAACACACAATCTTATGATCTATCTCAAAGCCAAGCATTGTGTGTGCCATGTTTCTTAAATTCTAGGACAATTATCACACTGTACCTTGTAACAGAAAAAACTCATAAAATAAACATGATGCAAATTCTTAGTGAACGAATTTTACTTGATGGGGTGTAATTTATTCTTATATTAAAAAATATGGAGACAAAAGAGGCTAATACGCAAAATCTGTGTGAATTTTTAGACAAACACAGACCTTAAAAAAATTAAGATCATGTCTCTAATTTTCCTAAATATGAGCTTACTCTCTTCTACATTATAGGGCACAGTAGTGGAAAAGTTCCAGAAGCACAGATCTGTCATGTTATTACATTGTTCCACTAGGGCAGTAACTACTTTGTCTCCATCTGTTTCAAAGATTGACTTAGTTGATTTTTTCAACATATATGTTTCTTTCACAGTAGGAAAAAAAAACCTCTTCAAATCTTACACTAATACGACATAACTAGCTTATAATTTGGTATTTCTCACAAAAGATTCTTCAATAAGGCCAAGGTAATTTTCAAAGTGCAAATTAAAAATTCATTGTGCAGGTAAATTTTTCAATGTACTAAATCATTGTTCTGATTTGGATTAATATATTTATAGTAAATATAATTTTTATAATAACTTTGCATTTCCCTAATACAAACTGGCTTTGTATAAAATATTGGATTCTTTAAAGTGCAATTGTCATTATCATTAAAACCAAGATTTGTCTGAACATATGCCATATAACATTACGCCCACTCTAATGACTCAAAAGAAAATGTAAAATTCAAAAAAGTGACTACAGGTAGATGTTGCATACTAAACATTTAATGACTATTGAGTTTGCCTTTTTTTAACTTAAAAAAAATCTACTTAGAATGTAGCTAATACCCTAAGAAGAATATGAATACAGTACATAATTATTGAAGCAATTAAAAATGACTAAAATAAGTCCCAAAGGGCACCAGTTTTTAATGAATATTTCAGAAATCAAATTTTAGAGCAATTTTTGTTTTAATGGAATTATGAATACATTAAAATAAGATTCTGAACTTGTTTGTGTCTGTGCTCAGAGACAATTCTAAAGAAAAATAACTAAAATGTGCCTATGTTTTAAAAAATATATAAAAATATCCCTAGGAGTTATTTTGATGACTAGAATTTGGAAGTGATTTTCTCTTTTATCTATAATATGTAAAGAATCAGTATTTTATTCATAGGTCTCAGGAAAAGCAAATTTGCCATTCCTACACAATGAAGCAATAGTAGGAATAGTAGGAATAGCAGTAGCAGCACAAATCAGTGAGCATAACAATAATTCACTATATAAACAAAAAGTTCTCGATCTATGGAGAAAACCATACTCTTGTATCTATGATATGTCTCAATCAAGGTAAAATTTGAAGGAATTTAGAACTCTTATTTTTTTTAAAAAAGTAACATATTATTAGTAAGGACTAGACTTCTGCCAACAAAGACAAATACAAAGTAAGAAAAATTTAATATAGATGCCCTTCAGAAAATTCAGACAAGCACAAACACTGCTAAACTCTTACAACATCAGATTGCCACAGTATTTGAAGTTGATCCCAATTGAGAAAAAAGTATACCCAGAAAATGGGTCAGACTTTTGCTTAACACACAGCAGACAGAGACAGACCTCCTTTCTTACTGGAAATATGCTCAAAGTGTAATTTAAAGAAACCAGAACACAGAAAGAGATAAAAGAGGCTTTGATTTGGTCCTTGATTTTATTTGTTTATTGTTTATTGTTCATTTAGGTCATGACATAATTCTCTGTAGTGTTTAATGTATAAGCTTATTAATGTTATTAACAAGGTTAAGATTTTACCCAACAATAAGACTAGCACTAATTAAAAATGCCACAATCACTCCATAATTTTTAAAAGTCCAGTTGATAGATTATAAACATAAGAAATTACTTTTGTAGTAACTGTGCCATCACTAGCAATTTAATCTTAGGAAATTATTAATATGATCACAGCTATACTCTAAATGTAACACCAAGATTTTCCTTGGTATTAGCTACAGAATATATGCTCCATGATGAAGCTATGCCAGATATTGAGAAGACAAGATTCTATGGTGCCTTCGGATTATATCAATGTACACAAGAATACTAATAAGGATATGAAAATATGAATCATTCACAGAAAAGTATTTAATACAATGATAATTGTTATTGCTATCCAAAGTAGAACATTGGAATTAGATGAAATATAATTATAGCAATGTGATTTTTGGAGAGTGCTTTAATAACAAATAACATACTTATGAAAGGATCCAATATTTTAATCCCAAATAAAGGCTGCAAAAAATTACTGTCTATTTACATTCTTTTCCCATTGTATAAAGTGCTAATAATTTATACATAAAAAAATAGAAATGTTTTTCTAAGAGTTCTTGAAACATACATGGAAATCTATTTAGCAGCCTGGTTTGGTGGAAAGAATGCTAAACTGGGTAGCCTAAAATCTATTGTGTCATCTCACTGATTTAGAAATCATCCTATGATGTAAGGCACAAGAATTAAGGAGTTGGACAGTACAATGTCTTAAAGCCCCATCCAACTCTGAGAACTTGCTAATTAATACTCAATCCAATTCAACAATAAAATGATTTATCAGCTTCTGAAACTGACAGGCACTGTGTCAGGATCAGAGTATTCAAAGTAAATGAGACATGGCCCCTACCCTCAAGTTGCACTCCAAGCTAACACACAGTCCTACCATTCTACTCCAATCATTCAGAAACACTTATTTAGCACTTACAAGGTGCCAGGTCCTGTTCTATCCCTGATGATACACCAGTGAACATCACAGGCTGGTCTTTGTTTTTTTTTCCAATCAAGGGTGGGAGACAGCAGGGAAAAAAGACAATATTAGATGGTGATAGTTTCTAAGAGAAAGATAAATGAAAGTAAATGTGATAGAGGGACTCAAAAGACCAGCATTAGATAGGGTGATCTCAGAGGGCCTTTCTGAAACGGGAGTGTCTGGACTGAGACTGAATAATGGGAAAGAACCAATCATAGGAAGAGAAGAGTGTGGAGATGGAGAAGGAGGTTGCAAAGCATCCTGGATCAGAGGGAAGAGCAAACTCTAAGGCTAAGAAGTAAGTAAGCATGACCTGTCTAAAAACAGAAAGAAAGCCATTGTGGCTAC